TTCGTTGATATAATCTAAGAAAAAAATTACCACTTCTTTCAGCAAGATAAAAATTATTGTAATAAAATATGTTAATAAAAAAAGAAAAAAAGAGCAAAAAAAAAGTTAGCTAAAATTTAATTGAAATAAATTACCTCAGTTAATGCAATTTTTAATATTTCTTCACGATCTTTAATATTAATCACTTTAATGCCATGTTTATTAATAGCAAGTAAACATTCGCCTGTTTGTTCATTTTCATCAATAACATTATGCACGAAGAAAAATGTTGTCCCAAAATATGGCCATTTTTCAAGTGTTTCTGTAATAAAAATTTTTTCCTTTCATTCATTGAAAAATAAACTATTATGAATAATTTAAAATGTTAAAATAAAACCTAAAAAATATGCTCGTGCATCAATTTGATTTATATTATGCTGTTGCATTGTTTGTAATTTTGCATTGATTCGTTCAACCCATTGATCAACCGTTCGAATTGGATAGACCGTTTTTGGAATTAATTCAGTAACATTTTTTCTAAAAAAAAAAAATCGTTTATCATTGCGTAAAAAATGTAAAATTGTAAAACTAATTATTTAATTGCATTTGATCAAACAAATATGATTATATCTTTAAGGTTTCCTTTTGAAAATTCAATTCAAAATCATAATTGTAAAAATGATAAAAATTTGATGAAATTTATATATTTATCATTATTGCAACACTTGAAAATTTTATTGCTTTAAATTTGAATAACTAATAAATAAAATTAAATTATTTGATCAGCTAGAATATTAGCATATTTTTATGATTTCACCCGCTATGAAACAATACTGTAACTATATTTCATTGAGTAATCGAATAATCCCGAGAGTAAAGCCAATAAAAGGATTGATTAATGATTGATCGGGTGGATAATGTTATTTTTAGCATTCTATGAAATTGAAATTTTTAATCATAAATGATACATAATGAGATATATGTATTATGCAAATGAAAAACTTATAAAATAAGTTACTTACGATGTAACACGTGCAGGTCGTTCCATATCCGCTAAATATAAATATGCACCCAAGCGAGCAATATCATCCTATAGCAAAGTATAACTATTCCAATATATAACTAATTATAATTTAAGTAAATATAATTTGCGTGATAATGTATTATATTCAAATGAATTAATTACAAAATTTCTTTCGATCTATCATATTATTACTAACCAAAACATCGGCGCTAATTTTTCCATTCTTTGGTGCAATAATTAAACCTTCGACATAATCTGGCACAATCTGTTAAATAAAGTATGAAATAAAAGAATGAATAAATGAATTAAAAATAAGCTGATAAATTGATATCCATTCATAATTTAAATGATCGAATGATCCAATGATTTAAATAGTTTCATGGTCTAATGTTATAAATTTATTCCATTCCTTCAGAAGATTGATTCTTGTTGATGTATTTACTCATCATTCTATTTCCAATCAAAGTAATTTGGATATTCTGATCCATAAAAAATTGAATATTCCGGTAACTTCAGATATTCTGCTACATGCATGGTTGATTGGAAAAATATTATAATATATCATGAATAGAAGATATAAATGAAATGATTACCATTCCCGAAATGATATTTTGATTATTCTAAATATATGAAATATAAAGTTATTATTTTAAATAACTTTTGTTTTTAATTATAATTTACGACTTATGTAATACATAAGTAAACATCCATAAGTCATAGGTTAAGCATTTAATGACTGGATAATAACATTTCATCTAATGCAACAAAAATAGAAGAAAACAAAAAGATGATTTACAACAATAAATAATTTTTCAGTGTTGAAAATGATAACGCATTTTGTGATTATAACAATAAACTTTTACATAGGACAAAGAAAAAATCAGAGATGATGAAAAAATTCACATATAAAAAATGTTTGCCATTTTTGATGAATCTTTAAAACTTATCGTTGTAATTGAACAAAAGTAGGAAGATGTTAGTGGTAGAAGATTAATAAATATAATTAATTTAAAAAAATTCGATAGTAAAATTTGTCAACACTTATAAAAAGTGGTATACGATTAATAAATATGATTAATTAAAAAAAAAATAATTGATCATAATGGACCTTTGTTATTTTGATCTTCCTACTAATCCTTCCAATTTAAATGATTTCAATTACTGAATAACTTACAAAAAAAGAGAGGAAAAAAAGAGGTAAATAACCTGAAAGAACATTGCATCGATATAGCGAGCATTATCCAACCGTAATGGATGTATCCATACTGTTCGTTTAAGTAATAAGAAATATTGTTTTTGATTATGTTCAAGTTCAGTGCATACATCCATCACATATTCATCGTTAGCTAACATTTTAATTTTATTTTCTACAATAATTCAAACTTATTCTTTAATTTAAATTCAAACAAGTTTTATTTCAAATAGATGTAAATTAAATGAAAAAACAATGAATTAATACTAGTTTATAAATCTATAACTTTTATTTTATTCTTTCAAAATTTATTCCAGAAATTAAACGGTACTAAAAAATTAATATGTATAATTTTTGACATAATATAAATTTCAATAAAATATTATTCTATCAAGAGCTCTCAATGTTTAGCAATTAAAAAGTTTACCTGATTCCAGAATATAGCATAAACAAAATTCTTGTTGTTCTGCGGCACTTCGTATATTAAGCTCTTGACAAAGCTGTTGAATAATCTCTTCGACAACTGTTACAGAACGGGTATTAATTACCTTTCGATGTCCGCCCGGTAAATGGTATAATTGTCGCTTTAGAGTTTTACCCATCTATAATCAAATTATATCATCAATAACGGTATTATAAAATTTTTTACTTATATCAATAATGGCATTATAAAATTTTTAATTTATATCAATTGAAAACAAATTAATTCATATTAATGATCAGAATAATCAAAATTTCATCAAAAATTATATGTATTACCGTTATTGCTTCAATTTCATTTCCACTGAGCAAAAATTGACGACCGCCATATTTGAATGTTTTAACCAAATTTTGTAAACAAATTAGTGCGGTACCTAAAAATATGCGTATTAAAAAAATTATGAAAACTTTATTAAAAATATAATAATAGTGAGAGTAGTGGATAAACAATAAATAATAAATAAATAAATAATTAATATGAATATATAGATACCGTGATAAGCTCTTCGTGGATCATTTGCCATATCGATGAGATATTTAAACAAATATGGCTTCAACACTTGTGAACAATCAAAATAAGCTGTTAAAATTGAAAATAGACGCCAACCGCGAATCGAAGTATTTGCTCTATAATAATTTTATTAAATTCATTACTAAAATAATGGAGCGTTCAGCAAAGAAAAAAGAAATGAAAAGATGCAATTGCATTGCTGAATAAATGAATGAATAAATAAGATTAACAATTACAATGAATAAATCGATAATGGATATCGTTAAATATAAATTTTATCTATTAGCATTTTTTGAGCTTATAATTGATTTATTGTTTATTGTAATTAATAGCATCCGTACTTGGAAGTTTTATTATTTGTTGTTTGACGAATAATTTGACAATATACTTCATCTCGAAGTGGATGATATTGATGACATATCATTAAAAGCTCATAAATACAATCAGTTAAAGTTTGGCCACGTTTCAAATTTTCATCACCCATATAACGCATAATGCCTAAATATAAAAGAAATAAAACCAAGAACTAAACTATTTTAGCTTTTATTTCTATCATATTTTAATAAACATAACTTATCGTAATCTATTACATATATACCGTAGTTCATAAATACTGTAATAAATTACAGTAGATATGCAGTGATAATAGATTACGATGAAGTACAGTATATGTGTGATGGATTATGCTTGTACAAAGTGATAGATTATACACTAAATGTAATCTATCATTTTGCGCAAGCATTAAAAAAAGTAAACTATTACAATAATCATAATCAGTTAAAATTGCTTAAATACTTTTTTCTACATTTTAATTTCTCCCAGGAAACTAAACACATCTTTAATCTAATAGCACTAATTAATGAATATAATCAGTGGAATATTTAAAGTCAAAAAATAATTTCATTTATTAAATAGAAAAAAAATTTAAATAATCATTAAATTGTACTAACATAAAAATGCTTCTTGTGCTAATTTATCCGCTTCGTTACTATCTAATCGTAGTAGTGAATGATTAATTGGCTTATTTGTATGTTTCACTTTTTCAGCAATTTCTTTCCATGTCCACTTCTTTCCTATAAATTAAAAAGTGTTATAAAAATAAATGATGAAATACCAATATTTTTATTTTCTAATATGATTTGTTTATTATTATTTTGTTGAAATTTATACTTTTTAGGCCAAATTTTTTTTTAATGTGTTATAATATTGTTTTCATTTGTATTATTATATATGATCGATTAATACTTACTTTTTCGCTGTGTACTGTCGGAATTGAAATTTATACTATTGATGATGCCAGTTGGGACATTTTTGGGTCGCCGGAAATAGAGTATTGCAAATTGCATCATTGTGTGTTTGTTATCAGGATCTGATAGATCAAAGAAAAAATCACCAACATTATCCTATAATTCGAATTTAATAATTTACATATTTGAAGATTTTGAAAGTACAAAATTTCAAAAATTTCAACTTCATTCAATTTGTTAGAAGAAAATTGATCTTATAGGCATATATTAATTAAATGAAAAAATTTATTATCAACATGTTAAACATATTATTTTAAAAAAAATTACCATAATTATTCGATTAAATCAATTTTTTTCATGAAAAAATTTGACAATCTCTGATATCTCGACTTTTATCACTCTGATAATGTAATAATGTTGATGAGTAAATTATGAAATAATTTTCGAATTATCCATATTCATTCAGATTACTAATTGATAGTGTATGATAGATTACGTCTTAAAAAAACAGCAAACAAGATTAATTTAACAATTTTTAAGCTTCTTTTTCATACTTTAATTTCAAATGGATTTAATCTCTACTGTTTGCTTGTTCCTTTTTCCTTATTCTTGTAATAAAACAAATTTGTAATTATACTTGCTTGTAAGTAATTTAACATTCAATTGTATTATTTTGAAACAAATTACTATTAAAATTATCTCACATGACATTGTTACTTAAAATATAATAACGTAAATCGTTACACATTCCACTCATATTTCTTTTTTCTTTTCTTTTCTATTCTATTTCTTGATGCAAATATTTAATTTATAAAAAAAAAACACTAATTTATTAAATTTCATTATTAAAATATATTACATAAGGCATGCAAAGATTCATTCAACCAATATCAAGTATGCATCTGTCTACAAAAAAATCATCAATGATAATTTATATCATATCCAAATTGAATTCATTGCTTATACATTTATCAATTGCTTTTTTCTTTTTCTTTTTTTTATTTCTATATACTTTCTATATACTCCAACATTCAAGTAATTAATTTTTTTTTATTTCTATATATTTTATTCCTATATACTCTAACACATTATTCAAGTAATTAAGTGTAATTCAAATTTGTGTCTCTTAAATGAATATGTATATCTGCCCAGCGCATTTTCTCTTTACCATTATAAACATAATGATGTTTGCTTTGTAATTCTTTAAAATCATTTCTTATTATTTATTTGTTAAAATTTCTTATTATTCAAAACAATAATAATTTACTCGGTACAATGTAAAACAATGAAAGCACTTCTTCCCAATATAATACCTAAAGCATAGTGAAAAAAAATAAGAAATCTCAGAAATTTAATAAAAACAAAAAAATAAAAGAAAAGAAACATATATGAAATGATAAATACTTCGACAAATTATATCCATTTCATATATACATAATTCATTAATTTAGCAAATTCTTAAACTAATTTTGAATCTTTCCGTCCTTCTATTAAATTTTCCTCCCCCTCATGTTCTCTACCCTTCTCACTAGATTTTATATTTCTTAATTATTATTTAAAATATCACTGGTCGAAATTTTTTAAATATTGTTTTTATTACAGAAAATTAAGTGAAAAATTTCCTTCATTACTGATGGAAATTTTTAATTTAATAATATAAAATTAATGTTGCTCTGTTTTTTTCTTTTTCTTATTTGCTTTGGATGAAATATTTGATAGTTTATAGGTGAAATATTATCTCTCAACTTTGATTACATTACGACAATTTTATGAAAATGACAACTGTGTTATTTGATCAATGATGCCAAGACATATCATCGGAATGTATATTTTAAGAAATTTTTAGGGAAATCGAGAAAATTTGGTATATTACTACTAATTGATAGAAAAGATGAGCGCTGTTTAAAATTACGGAAAACCATATTAAACAAATGATTCAACACGAATAGGTATCGTAAGTTTCATTTTAAAAAGGTCAAATAGTCAACCTTGTACCTATCAAACGTATGATTTCCATTATCAGCACAACTAAATGTAGTAATGCTGCTGAATTGCACATTTCGTAAAATATTTTCTTATATTAAGCGACACAATTTTTTTTCCTAAAATTCAAAAGAAAAAAAAAGATTGATCATGGCAAAAAAATGGCAGTACCAGCCGCTACCGTTACGGAAAAAAATGTCAAATTAAATCAGCAATTTGAAATGTTAATAAATGAAAGAAAGCAGCAAATACCCTGAACTTTTGCTTGTAACCACAATATTTCAATGTTTTTTCTTTTTTTTTTCATTCCTTTTTGTTTAATAGGGCTTATTTTATATATTTTAAGATATAGTTAAATTCAAATTAAACGCCTTGTTCAATTTTATATTAACAAAACACTTTTGTAATTATTTCATAAATTTTCAAGAAGCAACTGATAAATATCAGAATATTGTTCAGTTATTAAAAAACAAATTTTTAGTATATTTTTTTAAATAAATTTTTAATTGCAAAAATTATGCAGAAAAAAATTACCAATTAAAGTAATTGTAGAAAAAAAAACAAGAAAAACCTTCACTTTTTTCCTTATACATAAAGTAAACAAATTATTATATTCATAACAATTATTTTCACATTCATGATGATAGTTAAATCATTACTTTTCCTTTATTATTTTACGAAGTGATACATTTAAAAAAGAAAAACTTCGAATCGATAATTCGATAATAAATAATTATTTTGTGTTGATTTTTGGTGAATTTCTCCTCTCTTTCTACTTTCTTTTTTGCTTCTTCTTTTCATTTTCTTTTCTTTTTTTCTTCAATTACAGTTTTTTGTGCTGATATGTGAGAATGAATGATAACAATAGGAGCAATTATATCAGATAAAAAGAATAACCATCATACAGAACATCATTTAGAATTTATAAAAAATATGCTGTTATGAAAAAAAGGAAAAAAAGACTAAAAATTGAAATAATCATTGTTTAAGTACTGGAGTAGAGATAATGATGATGATGATAGGGATTGAAATAGAAGATCTGAATATCGTTAAATGTATTCATCGTTGTGATATGCTTTGCTTTTTCATTTAATTAACGAACAATAATGATAATCAATTGAAATTTATTTTTTAAATCAATTTAAAATATAACCATAGTTTGAAAAAGATTGAGCAGAAATACAAATTGGATATATTTAGGATAGCTTTAGCAACAATGTAAAAGTTAAAATTTAACAAAATGCTAAAATTTCTTTGCAACCATACAAATATGTAATTTCCTGTGAATAGAAAATAAAAAAAAAAAAAGAACATGAATTATACCTTCAATTTGATCTCTAAAATTATAGGTTAATCCTATCAGAAAGGAGCTCTTGTATAACACCGCGTTACCACGGTAGCAAAAAAAATGGTATCAAAATAAATAAATAAATGGTGCAGTACAGATAATGTAAACTAAATAAATGGAATAGAATTATGAGTGATAAGATACAAATTTTATATATCACTGCAATGAAAAAAAAATAGTCAATGTTATGAAATACTTTTTGATACCTTTGGTACAAAATTCTAATACCAAATAGATTGCACAGGTTTTTTAAGCATGAATAAGTAAAAATGTAGGTACCATAGAATGAGATTGAAAAAAGAAATATGATGAAAGAATAAAATAATAGTAATATGTTCAATTAAGTACGACGATATAACGGTTGTGGTGGTTCCACTTCTTCAAAAGCCCAAGGTGGCCAACGAAAACTTAAACAGCAACAATGAAGTTTGTAATATTTTTGTTCTCCAAAACCATAACGTGTGGTACCTGCAGCGGTACCACGGATCATTGTTCGACCTCTCATTGTATTTGGAACATTTACAGGCCCAGTACCTGGTCTATAATACTCGGATTGTTGATGATTAGAACTGCTACCTCGATAGTAATTTACCATACCATGATGATCAGCACCAAATTCTATTTCATCTTGTAATACTGAACTACTGGGAAAATCATTTCGGTTATGTCTTACTGATTCATTTCTGTTGACAGAAATACCACTTTGCTGTCCTGTAAAGCCACCGGCAGCTCCGGAATGTCGGTAAAAGTATGATGGTAAATTGTGCCGTTTTGATTTGGTGCCACCTGAAGTATCACCAAGAAAACCAGTTGGACGAACTGGAGATAAACTTTGAACCTTAGGACGTCGTACAGTTGCAGCTATTTGTTCACCGCTAGGATTTTCACGATAATTTCGAATTGAACGATCCAAGGCATCCCAGTCTGATTCAGTAAGATTAGACTGTAAGGTTACCAGGTTGTCAGGATAATGATCGTTACCACGGCGTTCATCGTAGGTATTTTGGTATCCAGTAGTAGGACCAGTATTAACACTAAGATATGGCTGATAATTATAGTTTCGTTGTTTTTGGTAAGATTGATACCGCTTTGAAGCACCATTGTATCTCTCATCTGTTCCCACCGTTGGAAATCCATAATCATCGCTGAATAACCAATCTTTTCGATTATCCAGTGATTGCGATCGTCGTGGTTGATTCTCAGCCCCAAAATGACCAGCTCCAGAGGTACCAAAATAATTTCCACCTCCACTACCTACTCCAGTACCGGAAAGAGAATAATCCAATTCAGAGGATCTGTAAAGTGGATTTCGTTCCTGTTGTATTCGTGGATGCGGACGAAAACGTTGTCGATAACTATAATGATGATCCATAATTGGTAGATAGTGCAATAATAGTAATCATGATACTTCTTGATAGGTATCTTAAAATTTCAGATTTATCATTCAATAATAAATTTTCTAATTAACTATAAGTTAATTAAAAAATTAGCAGATTGAATAAAGCCTGAATGATTTTAATTCTTCTTTCGAATTAATTTGAAAGAAAGCCAAACAGGGAAATCCGAAGAAGGAAGGAGCAGAGAATAGTTGAATATTTAATAATAATTTAACAAAATATAGCAAGCAGAAAAAAACCAATACAAATATGAATATTCGAAATTGGAACAAATTAATATTTAGTTGTATTGCTTATTGAAAAAAAAAAAAATCAAAAATATGAATAAAACATTCAGCTAACTGTTCATCCAATAGCAGTTAACCGTAAATGGTTAAAATAACCTTCGATAATAGCAATAATTAATAGATAGTAACTTTTTTTTTCCGCAAAATATCAAATATTGAAGATTTTTCGTAAAATTTTACACATTTAAAAGAAGATAAAAAAGATATAAAATTGGTATCACTTTTCTCTTTTTCTTTTTTCTTTACTGTCTTATTTAGTTAGTATCAATTTAATTAATTATATGTTACAGATTAGGAATCAAAAGCATGAATTAGGAGTAGCAGAATTAAGGAGAGAAAATGGTCGCGCAATTCTTCGACAATTGTAATGAATTTTGAAGAAAAAATCTTTTCCACTGGAGCAATAATTCACCGCTCCTTCATGTCATTAACCATCTAAACCGGATCAAACTGGTTGCTTGTGCACACACACACACACACACACACACACACACACA